GGATTGGAAATAGGAATGGTTGGATTGAGACAAATGCACACAGGGACAGAAAGTACTTTTACAGAGAGACTACAGTGAAAGTGTGGTTAGTGAATATGGAAACATGGTGTTTTTATAGCACTCGTATCATACCATTGCTCATAGGCAACTTAAATAGCTTAGTATGCACTTGACATACCATTACTCATACATGAAAGATAAAAGTAGTTGCTCTGGGTTAAAATGTTGATCATACTTTACACTATTAACAGTGTTGGGTTAAAGGTTATATCATCCTCAATTCAAGTCAAACTCAATTCAATTAGAGACAATGGCCTTTTTTGTGAACTAAGCACTGTATTTGCATTTGGGAACAGATTGATGATTTGACAAACTTACCAGGAACTGGACAATTTTTGTTCAACTCTCACTCGATTGAGTGCTGCACAGTATTTGAGTCCCTTCACTTTAGTTCAGATTGAAATATCTCAACAACAACCATTGGATAGAGTGTTGTGAAACTTTCTACATTACTTATAATAAATCATAAATAACAATTTGGTAGTGGTGTTGAATGTGTAAGATGTTAGTGTGAGGTTTGTTGTTTTGATTTGCTTTTGTTACACACATTCATGTCCTCCACAAAATGAATTGTAATGATTGTTTATTGCAGTCCTTTGACCCTTACCTAAACATATAGGCTACTAACAATATAATAATAATAATAGATTTATTTTGTTAGCGCTTTTACAGGTGCTCAAATACACTTTATAGATATAGTGAAAAGAAAAAAAGAAATGAACAAAAAATACATATAGAGTTAAAGTTAAAGTCAAATAATACAAAAACAATCACACATGAAAAGCCAGATTGAAGAGGTGAGTTTTTGTGAGTTTTTTGAAGGTGGTGAGGTCGGTGCAGTCTCTGATGGGTTGTGGGAGTAAGTTCCAGAGGGAGGGGGCAGCGACGGAGAAGGCTCTGTCCCCCCAGCTCCGGTGATTGGTGCGGGTGGGGATGGATAGGAGGTTGGCTTCTGATGAGCGGAGGCAGCGGGAAGGGGTGTGGTGGTGCAGCAGGTCTGTGAGGTAGGGGGGAAGGGGTGTGATGGTGCAGCAGGTCTGTGAGGTAGGGGGGAAGGGGTGTGATGGTGCAGCAGGTCTGTGAGGTAGGGGGGAAGGGGTGTGATGGTGCAGCAGGTCTGTGAGGTAGGGGGGAAGGGGTGTGATGGTGCAGCAGGTCTGTGAGGTAGGGGGGGCGGGGTGTGGTGGTGCAGCAGGTCTGTGAGGCAGCGGGAAGGGGTGTGGTGGTGCTGCAGGTCTGTGAGGTAGGGGGAAGGGGTGTGGTGGTGCAGCAGGTCTCTGAGGTAGGGGGAAGGGGTGTGGTGGTGCTGCAGGTCTGTGAGGTAGGGGGAAGGGGTGTGTTCTGTAGGTAGGGGGAAGGGGTCGGTGGTGGTGCAGCAGGTCTGTGAAGGTAGGGGGGGGGGTGGTGGTGCCAGCAGGTCTGTTGAGTAGGGCGGGCCTGGTTGTTGAGGGCTTTGTAAGTATGAGAGGACTTTGCCAAGTGGATTCTTTGACGGACGGGGAGCCCAGTGGAGGTTCTGGAGGATGGGACGTGAATGTGGTCCTGGGAGCGGTGTGGGGAAGGAGGCCCGGGCAGCAGAGTTCTGGGATTGGAGTTATTAAAAATTTTTTTGAGGAGTTGGATGGTAGCCATAGGGAATGCTGTGCAGTAGTCGAGGTCGTCGAAGTGATGAATGCATGAAATCAGGGTTTTCAGAAAGCAGAGCAGGAAGAGTGATGGGCCCCGGAGACGGGCAGTGGTGTTTGAAGTGTGGGAAAAAGGCGGTCCCCTGGTGATGCTGATCTTA